TCACACACTGCATGAAATGCTTACAAGTAGCACACAAGAGCACTTCAGAAGCAGGAGTCCCTTCCAACTGGCATCATTCAGAAATCCTCCTATACCAACAGCTGCTTGTAGGACAACTCAGGGATCAAGACAAATTTTAGGTCTCCCTTAATTCTTACACCCCCGCCTGTACAAGAGTTAGGAGTCTCTTTAAGGTATTTTTAGCCAGTCCTCATATTTGGAATACCTGTAGCATCACAAATGAGAGCTCGTTTCTAAGAATCAAGCTAAATAACTGCTTCCTAACAAAAGTTACTAGTTTCTCCAATGAAATCCCTTTTCTGACATTCAGTATGTTTAATAGCAAAGTGTTAGTTTGATGAAGCCATCTCTAGGATGGAAACTTTTCTGATTTAATGCGAACTGATCATGCCTTAATTATGCATTATAAATTACCTGAAGGCTTGGGCTTCATCTAAATAACAGATATCGGCCAGGCGTGGTGGCTCACACCTGTAATCCCAGCACTTTGGGAGGCCCGAGGTAGGTGGATCACCCGAGGTCAGGGGTTCGAGACCAGCATGGCCAACATAATGAAACCCCATACAGATACAAGATATCACGATGAATATGCCGAGATCTTTTTAAATAAGCGACAGTCACTGTAACACAGTGGAATCTGCATGGGTCCCAGTGCTATGGGGGCCAAGTGAGACCTGCACCTGCAGTTCAGTCACCGCTTAAAATTCCCGGGTACCATGCAGATGCTAAGGAAACATCTGGAGCCGAAGGCCAGCAGAGGACTGAGAGACCCGAAGGTCAGCAGAGGACTGAGAGACCCGGAAGCAACGTGACTGCCTCTTCCCACTCAGTTATTGGCAGGAATTAAGAGCCATGTGAGGGGGAAAGGAGACTGGAAAGAGAAACCTTGGAAGAAGGGCTACTGCGAACGGAGTAGCCACTTAACACTGAAGAATGTTTTTTAATCAATTTTTTTGGACTTGAACTATTAACAAAGTTTAAAAAAAAGATTTACAGAATTAACCAAATTAAATGTTTCTTTCAGATAGAAAGGTGTGATGGTTAATACTGAGTGTCAACTTGATTGGATTGAAGGTGCAAAGTATTGTCCTGGGTGTGTCTGTGAGGGTGTTGGCAAAGGACACTCACATGTGAGTCAGTGGACAGGGAGAGGCAGACCCACACTCCATCTGGGTGGGTACCAGCTGATCAGCTGCCAGCATGGCTAGAATAGAGCAGGCAGGAGAAGATGGAAGGCGAGACTTGCTGAGTCTTCTGGCCTCCGTCTTTCTCCTGTGCCGGATGCTTCCTGCCCTTGAACATCAGACTCCAAGTTCTTCAGCTTTTGGACTTTTGGACTTATGCCATTAGTTTGCCAGGGCCTCTTGGGCTTTTGGCCACAGACTGAAGGCTGAACTGTCACAGGCTTCCTTACTTTTGAGGTTTTGGAACTCGGACTGGCTTCCTTGCTCCTCAGCTTGCAGACAGTCTGTTGTAGGACTTCACCTTGTGATCGTGTGTCAATTCTCCTAATAAGCTCCCCTTCATATATACATCTATCCTATTAGTTCTGTCCCTCTAGAGAACCCTGACTAATACAAAAGGGAAGTCATGGTCTTCTACATTAAGTCTGAGTTATTTCAAAATAAAGTTATATTTTCGTACCCCTGAATTTTGTGGACTGATGTGACTATGAAATTATTTCTGTTACAAAGTGATTGAATATTTAAGCATATAGAATCTGTTCAGGCTCAAATGCCCTGAAAGTCAGAGTCATGCACGAGGAATGAGTTCATCTATCATGTCTGACACCAGAGTCCCACCAGCAACTTAGGAGGAGACACTGCCTTTGAATGTGAAACTGAGACTGTAGCTTCAAAGAGAAATCTGGCTAAGGAGCTATTTATGGAGTGACCTGGCCCTAAAAGCATGAACATAGGAGCATCTCAAGGCAAATATTACATGAAAAGAGAAACAGGTAGCGGTGCTTGAATCGGAAACCCCCTTCAGAAATTGGTTTCTTATACTTTCTGTACTTATTTAGTTTCCATCGTCTCTTGTGATGTTTGGCACAGTGTTTGTAAAAATTCCAGCTGTGCTAAGGGACATCAAGAAAAGCAAGTGTGTTTCTGCCTGCTTGAGAGACCCAGACGGAAATTTTGCTCTGTAGGTACCGGTTTGTGGATGGCTATGAGCACGAGGAAAGCGATTCCACAGGCAGGGAGTAGAACTCGGGGACACAGATGGGTCCTTATCTGTCAAATTCTTCCTCATGGAGTTGGTTTTGCTCCCGTTTAAAATTGCGTAAGAAATTGTTATTCATGGCAGAAACATTTGAAACTCAAACAAAACGTTAAAAAAAAGGAAAGAATCCCTTGTAACCTCCTTACCCAGTGGTAACAATTGTTACCATTTTAAAGTACACCTTTACAGATCTGTTTTTATACATTTGCATATGTGTAAATATTTCAAAACCAGAATCACACTGTATATATTCCTTTGCAATGTGTTCTTATTTAACTCATTGTATTGTGAACTTTTCATGTCAATAAACATTTGTCTATTCCAGTGGTTCTCAAACTTGAGGATGCATCAGAATCACTTAAAAAGCTTGATAAAGGCCCAGCGCAGTGGCTCACGCCTGTAATCCCAGCACTTTGGGAGACTGAAGTGGGTAAATCGCTTGAGGCCAGGAGTTGGAGACCCGCCTGGCCAACATAGCAAAACTCCATCTTTACTAAAAATTCAAAAATTAGCTGGGTGTGGTGGCGTGCACCTGTAATCCCAGCTACTCGGGAGGCTGAGGCTTGAGAATCCTTTGAACCCTGGAGGTGGAGGTTGCAGTGAGCTAAGATTGTACCACTGCACTCCAGCCTGGACCACAGAGTGAGACTCTGTTTCAAAAAAAGAAAGAAAGAAAAAAAAACCGCTTGATAAAGCACAGGTTGCTGGTCTCCTACTTTAGTAGTTCTAAGTTAGGGTCTGAAAATTGCATTTCAGACAAGGTTATTTATTTTTTTTCTTTTTTGTTGTTGTTTCTTGAAACAGGGTCTTGTTCTGTCACCCAGGCTGGAGTGCAGTGGTGTGATCATGACTCACTGCAGACTTGACCTCCTGGGCTCAAGTTACCCTCTCATTTCAGCCTTCTGAGTAGCTGGGGCTGCAGGTGTGTGCCACCATGCCTGGCTAATTTTGTTTATTTTTTGTAGAGACAAGGTCTCATTATGTTGCTTAGGCTTGTCTCGAACTCTTGGACTCAAGCCATCTTCCCCTCTTGGCCTACCAAAGTGCTAGGATTACAGGTGTGAGTGAGCCATCACCCCCAGCCAAACAAGGTAATGTTGTTGCTACTGGTCGGGGCGCACACTTGGAGAAGCTAGGGTCATCTGTTAATAGATCATTAGGTAATATAATTTGTGGGTTTTCTATTGGTTTTTTGGAGACAGTAAATGGAGATTTTGTAACAAGGGCTTGATACACAGTGATAGAGTAATAATAAAATTGCAATTTATCATTTCTTTCATGGTAACAATTTGAGGACTGAATAAAAGCTTTTGGGACTAAAATTAGATGTTCAAAAAAAAATAAGTAAATAGGCCCCAGGCATAGCACTGAAAGCGCTGTCTAGTGTTCGTAAGTGCAGGAAGGCTGTGACGTGCCTTACAGGGAGAAAATGTGTGTTAGATGAGCTTTGTTCAGGCATGACTTACAGTTCAATGTGAATGAGTCAACAATCGTGTACACCTAAAAAGGAAGGGGCCATTTCCCAGTTGGGTGTGACGCTGCTCCAGAAAGCGCTAAAGTAACATCTACAGTTGCATGTTAGATCTACAAATAAGATGGAAGAGTGGCTAAATGGGTGTATTCATGAGATGATGACAGATTAAAAAGAAAAAAAAAAAAAAAAAGCACAGTGGACAGCATTGCTGTGAGGCTGAAAGCCAAAGAAATTTATGGAAAAATGTTAAACCCTTTGTGGCTAGTGCTGGCTGGCCCACACATTTCGAAAGGCGACGAAGCATGGAAAAATGTTAAACCTGTGGGAGGGGTAGGTTCTGCAGGTCACAATGCTGCGGAACAGATTTTTAAATGTTTGCTCAGTGTTCTACGGGAAAAGGTTATGTGGAAGAGACGATTTTCAACCCTGGTGAGACTGGCTTGTTTTACAAGGAAGTTGGAAAATGAACCTATAGAATGCAAATGGCATTTCAATTGACAAAAATGTAGTGACCAGAGGTTCTCAGGAGCCTCACCTTATATTTCCCCTTGTGGCAATAGTCCAATATTCACTAATTTAGTGTTTGCTATGAGTTTATAGAACATAACTACCATGAATAATAAGAAGTGATCATACCTGGTTGGCTGCGTGGTGGCTCATGCCTGTAATCTCAGCACTTTGGGAGGCCGAGGTGGGAGGATTGCTTGAGCCCAGGAGTTCAAGGCCAGTCTGGACAACATAGTGAGAACCCGTCTCAATTAAATATATGTGTACATATATGTATCTTTTTATAAAAAGAATGAATCATACCTGCTTCACCCTCAAAGATTTTAAAACATAAGGTAGAGCCCAGACATCTATGTTTTTATCAACCCTTTTATTTGATTTTGAAGCAGTCTAGTATTTGAAAATTATTTTTAATATACTGTATCTTGTTTCCTTATATTTCCAAAAGCCTGTCATATTGTCACAGGTATCACTGACCATCTTTTTTTTTTTTTTTTTTTTTTGAGATGGAGTCTCACTCTGTCACCCAGGCTAGAGTGCAGTGGCATGATTTCGGCTCACTGCAACCTCCGCCTCCCAGGTTCAAGTGATTTTCCTGCCTCAGCTTCCTGAGTGGCTGGGATTACAGGTGCGCACCATCACACCAGGCTAATTTTTGTATTTTTAGTAGAGATGGGGTTTCACCACATTGGTCAGGCTGGTATCGAACTTCTGACCTCATGATACACCTGCCTCAGCCTCCCAAAGTGCTGGGATTACAGGTGTGAGCCACCGCGCCTGGCCAATATTACTGCTTTTTTTTTTCCTGGGTTAATGGAATCTAATGGGGGACTCCTTGGCCTGCCTCACACAAGGATTGTTTTTAACCTCCTGTGATTGACTAGAAAGGAAGTAGGCTGGGTGACTTTTTTTTTTTTTTTAACACTGGTTGATTCCTAAGAGAAATCACATCTGCTTTTTGAGCCATCCTGCATTCACCCATCCATCTTTTCACTCATCAGATTTAAGGCCCATATGAGCAGTAATCATGAATATTTGGTTCACCTAGGTAAAGCTGTACCTACTCCGTAATTTTCACATAGTAAACACTCTGCCAAGACAGGCACTGTGATGGAAATGAAATTATTCCTATAAATCAGGAGTTCTCAAGCAGGGATGATTTTACCCCCCGAGAGACATTTCACAATGTCTGCAGGCATCTTTATCACAATGATGGTGCCTTGGGGTGGGGCTGGGGTTGCCACCGGCATCTAATGGGTAGAGACCAGGGATGCTGTCAAACATTCATAATGCACAGGACAGCCTCAACTCCCACAACAAAGAATTATCTAGCCCAATATGTCAATAGTGCCCAGGTGGAGGGAAACGTTCTTAAATGGCTGTAACAATTATAGTAGGCAACTTTTCATCCTCTGCCATTGCACTCCAGGCAGATTCAACTGTTAAGTGACACAGCAGTACTGAATCACGTCTCTCCCCACAGCCCACCTACCATGCAAAGTTATGAGGAAAGATTCCTGGGGAAGGCTTTCCTCTCTCCTGTGCCACTGGTTCGTTGTTGTTCTCCTAAGTAAAAAATGCGTACATTATTTTTTCAAGTATTTGAACTCATACTCTTCCCTATTTTCACTCTCTATCCCTATTTCCTTGTTTGCAGTTCATGCAAAGTGGAGTCCGGCTTCCTAGGAAACAGGTGTACCCTGACCTCCCTCATGCCGATTCTAGAAATGGCTTGGGAAAGAATGCAGCTGGAGACCCACAAAAGTGCACTGTCTCTGGCTCGTCGTTCTTCCTTCTCTTCTCCTGGTGAACAGAAGTAACTTCGACCTACCTTCCTGAGCCCCCAGCTCTGTAACCACACATGAGGGATCAGTTCCTCCCAGTTCCACCCAGTTATTTCAGTCACATGCTTAGGCAGTGAGGAAAGGACATCAGATTCCTAAAGATCAAATTTCCTGAACAGAAATATTTGTGGACAGGAAAAAAACCTGACAGGACGCTTTAATTCAGGTGCAGCATTTAGTTTTCAGTAAGGTTTTATTTCACAGGGAGAATAAAGACAAGCTGAATTCAGCCAAATTATAAAAGGTTATCAGTAAGTCTGTATTTTTCCCCCTCGACTGTTATGATTTCTATTTGAGGAAAAAAAAATCTGAAATTATTTTTTCCCTTAAGAGTGGCTAATCGAAATTAAGCAAATTAATTGACTTTATCGATTTATTAGGTTGGTGCAAAAGTAATTGTGGGTTTTGCCATTAAAAGTTGCAACAACAGCCAGGCGCGGTGGCTCACACCTGTAATCCCAGCACTTTGAGAGGCTGAGGTGGGCAGATCACCTGAGGTAAGAAGTTAAAGACCAGTCTGGGCAACACGGTGAAACCCCATCTCTACTAAAGACACAAAAATTACCCAGGCATTGCCTGTAGTCCCAGCTACTAGGGAGGCTGAGGTAGGAAAACCACTTGAACCGAGGAGACGGCGGTTGCAGTGAACTGAGACGGCGCCACTGCACTCCAGCCTGGGTGGCAGAGCAAGACTCCATCTCAATAAATAAATAAAAGTGGGGAGGTAATACTGGGGACAGGAAGGGTAGAGGATATATGGGAATATGAAAATTCTCTGTACTTTTCACTTAATTTTGCTGTGAACTTAAAACTGTTCTAAAGAATAAAGTTGATTTTTTTTTTTTTAAATCACACATATGTACACAAGTAAGTTCAATGGCCTATTTTAGATGATGGTGATTAATTCTGTCTAGGATACTATGGAAGCCAAAGAAAAGAGTGGACATTTATGCAAGGCCGTGGGGGACAGAGATGGTCCGAAAAGATCTCCTAGGCCAGGCGCAGTGGCTCACACCTGTAATCCCAGCACTGTGGGAGGCTGAGGCGGGCAGATCACTGGAGGTCAGGAGTTCGAGACCAGCCTGGCCAACATGGTGAAACCCCCGTCTCTACTGAAAATACAAAAATTAGCCAGGTGCGATGGTGGGTGCCTGTAGTCCCAGCTACTCAGGAGGCTGAGGCAGGAGACTCTCTTGAACTCAGGAGGCAGAGGTTGCAGTGAGCCAAGATTGCACCACTGCATTCCAGCCTGGGCGACAGAGAGAGACTGTCTCAAAAACACACACACACACACACACAAACAAAAATCCTCATGGAGGTGGTGATATCTGAGCTGAATGTTGAAAGGTGAGGGTGTTCTAGTCTGAAAGCCTGAAGAAATATGTTCTAGCAGACTGCAGTGTGAATTAAGACCTTTTCTGATGGAAGTGCTTAAAAAAACCACTCTCTCTTAAACAATAAAATGTATTGGATTCTATCAATGAAAAGGCTTGGGCTCAGCTTGCTCCAGGGCTTGCAGGACGGCCCCATGACACAGTTTGTATCTTCCCATTTCTCCTCAGTGTTGGTTAATTCTCCTGTTTCCTGTAAGATGAGTGCAATCATCCCAGCACCTTCTTAGTCTCAGTTCACATGAAGTGGGGATAATGCAAACAGGCTGAAAGTGAGGGAAGAGACTGTTTCCCCAGGCTACTGTTTTTATTAGATGGATGATGAGTAGATACCAGGAGTAAAAACCCCAAATGAGCGCTATTCATGAAGACTTGAAACAGCATGTGTGGTGCAGGCATGGGTAGAGCATCCTATACAATGAAGAAGCCTGGAGGGGTGGGACTGAGGCCAGACCATGGAGGGTTCTGTGTACTATTTGAAGAAATCAAGATTTTTATGTTTTAGGCAACAGGAAATCTTTGAAAAAGTTTATGCAAGAGTGTTCAATTATCACATTTTCATTTCTGATAGAACTCTGACTGTGGAAGGTGCTGTGTGACTTGGCCAAATAATTTGACCTCTCTAAGCTGCTTCAGTGTCTACATTTGTATAATGTGGACAATAATAGTGCCAATACCATAGGATTATGGCGAACTTTAATGTGATAGTATTTGTAAAATGCTGAGGACAGTGCTTGGCATCTAATGAGAACTAAATATTTGCTGCTACTAATATTGTAACTATTGTTATTATTGTTGCTGTTGTTATCAGAGTGGAAGAGTTTGAGATAGGAGGCATGGAGGTGACAGGCAAAACCATCTACACTCACACAGTTTGCTATCTTCATCAGCAGAACTTTCCTATTCCAGAAACTCTCACCCTGGAAGGTAAAACTTGCAAATAACTTCCTTTTTTTCACTCCAGGAACATCTTCAGAGTTACATCAATAAAAAGCAATTTATATTCCAAGACTGTTTGAACTCTTTTCCTCAAAATCCTCACTTTGCTGCGTCTTCTAATCTTAAACTATTTAATCATGATTATTTGCCAAGACCCCACATTGTCAGACTCACCTTCATCAGCATCCGAAACCTCCTAAACAGTGCGATCGGGTCATCCTCTCACCGAAATGTTACCAAGACTCTAAAGACGGAGCTCTCTGTTTCTTCAGTGAGCAATAGACTCCGCTTTGTCTTATGATCAGATTGTTTTGGTGATATTTTCAGGAAGCCGGCATTCAAGAGCAGGCAGCTCAGAAACTGGCAACGGTCCAGGTGAAAGATGGTAAGAGATGAACAGGGCTCGATGACAAGACAGGAGCATGTGAATGGAGTCACTGTGAAGGAGAGAGGTCTTAGTAACTGGGTGTGAGGAGGAGACAGGAACATTCAAGGACACTGCTCAGTTTGGCACCTTCAGTACCTGGATAGACTGTAGAAGGAATTTCCAAAGTAGAAGCTGCAAAGTTTGTTAGGTATAATTCAGGATATGTATTCACATGTGATAACGGGAACCAGCTTTATTAAACTTATGCTGATTTCTAACCATCCACCGTCAAGACCGCTTCAGAGGTAGGTGACCTGGCGGCAAATAGTTTGGGTTAGGCTTCTCAGGTTCCATAAGAGGATGTCTTCCAATGCCCTGCTCAGTTATAATTCTCTTCTTAATCCGGAACTTCACCTATTGGTGCCCAACACTCTAAGTGTGAGTGTATCACCTGTATGTGGCTAAGCCTATTTGTGACTCCCCTGTTCTTTCTGTTTGCCTGTGTAGGCACATTTCTGAATTGCTAATGCCCATAAAACACAAATTCCATTTTAAAGCACTGATGTAGATTATACTGGATATTTAGGGGGAAGATAAAGATGAGATGACCAACTTATTCTGGTTTTAGCATCCCAAATCCAGCATCCCAGAAACCTCACAGTCCAGGGCAAATTGAGGTGATTGATCACCTAAGATAAAGAAGAAGGTTAAAACCACCCTTCAAATCTCCTTTCATTGGGAAGTTTATAGGAATAAATATTGACCGAGCAGCAAATACCGAGGCCAAGCATGGTGGCTTATGCCTTAATCCCAGCACTTTGAGAGGCTGAGATGGGAGGATTGCTTGAGCCCAGGAGTTTGAGACAAACCTGGGCAACATAGGGAGACCTCATCTCTACAAAAGCTAAGAAATAAGGTGGGCATGGTGGCATGTGCCTGTGGTCCCAGTTACCTGGGAGGCTAAGGTGGAAGGATTGCTTGAGCTCAGGAGGTCGACGCTGCAGTGAGCCATGATCACACCTTGCCCTTCTGCCTGGGCAACACAGCAAGACCCTGTCTTTCTTTTCCCTGCCCTCCCCTCTCCTCCCCTTTTCTTTTCTTTTCTTGTCCTCCCTCCCCCCTCCCTCCCTCCCTCCCTTCCTTCCTTCCTTCTTTCCTTCCTTCCTTCCTTCTTTCCTTCCTTTCCTTCCTTCCTCCCTCCCTCCCTCCCTCCCTTCCTTCCTTCTTTCCTTCCTTCCTTTTTTCCTTCCTTCCTTCCTCCCTCCCTCCCTTCCTTCCTTCCTCTTTCTTTTCTTATTCTTTCTTTCTCTCTTTCTTTCTTTCCCTGTCTTTTCTCTCTCTCTCTTTCTTATTTTTCTTTCTCTTTTATTGATGGAGTCTCGCTCTGTCACCCAGGCTGGAGTGCAGTGGCGCAATCTCAAAGAGCTGGGATTACAGGCGTGAGCCACTGCGCCCCACCTGCATTTCTTGTTTAAAAAAAGATGTGCTGGCTGGGCACGGTGGGTCACGCCTGTAATCCCAGCATTTTGGGAGGCCGAGGCAGGTGGATTGCTTGAGCTCATAAGTTCGAGACCAGCCTGGGCAGCATGGCGAAACCTCATTTCTATTAAAAAAACAAAAACAAAAATTAGCCAAGCATGGTGACACATACCTGTGGTTTGAGCTACTCTGGAGGCTGAGGTGGGAGGATTGCTGGAGCCCAGAAAGTCCAGGCTGCAGTGAGCTGTGATCATGCCTCTGTACTCCAGCCTGGGCAATGGAGTGAGACCCTGTCTCAAAAATAAAGAGAAGATGTGCTGCACTCACAGCAGGCCAGGGTCTGGGGAAGAAAGTGGATGGTTAAAATGGTAAAAGAGAGATGAATGGATCAGAGAAAAACAGTTTTTCAAGCCGTTTATTATGGATTCGTGCTTTCTTTGCTCTTTTGTAAATTGGGCCAATTTTTTTGTAAGTAGTGCCCATCCCCAGGGTTGTTATGGAGTGAAAGGAAGTAATACATGAAAAGTGCTTAGAACATGCAGTAAGCAAATGCTCAACAAATGCCAGCTGTTGTCACGATGAGCTCAGTGGGCTCTGAGGAACATACTTAAAGGAGCATTCTCCTCTGAGTGAAGGGGCACGAAAAGCTGTCGTGAAGAGAAAACACATCTTCTTTGCATCAAATCAAATAAGGGAATTCTAACCGGACCAGGAAGGGTTTACTAATGAGTCTAATGGCAAAGGAAGTAAATTATAAATACCCAATAACGTTTGAGCCAGTGATAGTGGCATCTGTGTTTTGCAGAAATTAAAACAAAACAAACAATTCCGGTTTCTGCATCTTCATCTTAAAGGTCAATAAACCTTCATATGAAATGCACAAAATTATCTGGTTAAACAAGATCCTCCTCCTGCACCCATACTGCTCATGCAAGTTACTCCCACAGTCAGATGTTCGGATAGAGGCTCCCGGAGAGTATGAATCTTCTCGAGTCCTCCTGCTGGAAGGGAACATATGTTTCCCACTGGCATGCAGCTCAAGGAACCAGGCCATTCTCACCTAACAAGTGATTAAATCAACATATATTGGGTATCAGAAAATGAAATTCCATAGATACATTCCAAGGAGCTAGAAGCAAAACTGCTGCCAATCTAATCATCCTCAGCTCTTGTAGTCAGATGGACAGTGACAGCGGCCTATAGGAGTGGTTATTCTGGCTACTGCTGCAAAAGGTTCTCTTCACTGTATACAATGGGGCTATCTTACAAGGTTAAGTAAGCAGAGTATAGGGCCTTGACATGGCTAAGCACTAACTGTGACGTCTAAAACACTCCTGTCAGTAGGTGAGTGGAGAGAAAGCATGGCTCCTTCCTCCCCTAAATAAAGGCTGGGGCTGGGGAGCATGACTCCCTAAGGCAAACCATATGTGGAAAAAGCTCCAAATACATATTTGGCAACAATTTTATGGAGTTGGAAGGAGTCATTCTCAAAATATGAAGATGTGACTTCAGGAAATTCTGAATGCTCCTTTCTGTTCAATACTTTCATAATTGAGATCACATTATATGTAGTCTTATTTCTCAATATAGTCTCTCAAGTATCAAGGATATTTTTAAAAAACCAAATACCAAAACTGCTAATTTGATACAGAAAAATTTTCTTTTAATTTGAATCATCTTTATTGAATTACAGTTTTTCATATTAGCCATTTCTATTTCTTATTGCACTTCTATGAATTGTTACATCCTTTGCTCATTTTTCTCTTGGAGTCTTCATGTTTAAAAAAATGTTAGTATGAGGTAGTGGTGGGGAGTGCCTATAAAGGGTACAGGGTTTCTTTTTGGGGTGATGAAGAGGTTCTAAAATTGATTATGGGCCAGGCATGGTGGCTTATGCTTGTAATCCCAGCACTTTGGGAGGCTGAGGTGGGAGAATCGCTTGAGCTGAGGAGTTTGAGACCAGCCTGGGCTTCATAGTGAGAACTGTCTCCATATTTAAAATAAAAATAAAATGGGTTGTGGTAATGGTTATAATAAAAACCACTCAGATATACACTTTAAATGGGTAAACTGTATAATATGTGAATTATCTCAATAAAACCGGTTTTAAATATGAGTATAAATCATTTCTATATTAAGGTATTAAGCCTCCTTCTTCCAAAGTCTATAGGTAAATGTTCTAATCTCATTTGCCTTTTACTTTCTCATATTCAGAAGATATATATTTTTAGTTAAATGTATAATCTGCTCCTTAATGAATCCTCCTATTGCCTTTATTTGGAAAATTCAGTCACATCCAAAGACAGTCACTAATACGTTCTTCTGACTTATTTTCATTTTTCACCTGGATTTTGGTGTACATTATAAAGCCATAATCTAGTATTCTCCAAAAGTTTACCTTCCTTATGTTCTTAGGATTTTTGGAATATTTTATTTATACTCACATCTATTTCGGGGCTACTACTGCATTGGTCTAAGAGGTCAAATGTAACTATTAGTACATTTTCAATATTTTTTAGCTGTGAAATATGGTTTTATATCTATTATCTCAAGACTTCATTACTTTCCTTTCAAAATATTCCTATTCTTGCACATCCTTCAGATGAAATTTAGAATACTCTCAAGCCATTGAGAACATTAATAGACTTGCATTCAATTAATTCACAAATAGAAGAAATGCTTAAAATATTTCATTTTAGGGCCGGGCATGGTGGCTCATACCTGCAATCCCAGCACTTTGGGAGGCCAAGGTGGGCAGATCACCCGAGGTCGGGAGGTTGAGACCAACCTGACCAACATGGAGAAACCCCGTTTCTACTAAAAATACAAAATTAGCCAGGCGTGGTGGCACATGTCTGTAATCCCAGCTACTCGGGAGGCTGAGGCAGGAGAATCGCTTGAACCCAGGAGGCGGAAGTTGTGGTGAGCTGAGATCGTGCCATTGCACTCCAGCCTGGGCAACAAGAGTGAAACTCCGTCTCAAAAAAAAAAAAAAAAAAAAAAAAAAAAAAAAAATCCATTCAGCTAGGAGCACTGTACTTTTCCATCTATACAGGTCTTCTGTTATCTTTGTATAGTTCCTGCACACATGCTCAGTTTGTCTATAAATGTGACAAAGCTTGTTGCCACAATGAATGGTGATATACTACAATTAAATCTTAAAGCGATCTTTGTCTATTGACTTTTGGATATCTGGAGGTTTTTGCTAATTTTATATTAATTCTAAGATGAGATTCCCAGGCTTTCTACTTGGACCATTATATCATCTGCAATAATAACACCAGTTTTTTCTTTCCCAATAGTTGTAATTCATTTCTAGTTTGGGTCTTACTGCCTTAAAAAATTGTATCAATATTCTGATGACAAGCCCTGAAAACATTAAAGCACATATTAAAAACAAAATCTTTCACAAGCAGGTTTGTAAGGGATATGTAAAGCTTTCAAGCTATAGAGAAAAATCTGAAATTCATCAATGTTGCCACTTTCTAGAATCTGTCATCTAACTTAGGGCTCTTAAAGAGTACCCGAAGTGTTTAATAGATCCGGTGTGACAATATTTGGAGAAGGCACTCAATACTGGGGGCATGGGGTCCCTTTTCCCTCAGCTGTGCCCATCACATTCAAACCAACAGCAGGTGATAGCTCCTATTAATCTTTGCTACTAACTGAAAAACTGTTCTCTTTCTTCAGTAGACACAGTTGAAGTGTCTAATGTCCTAGAATATAATACTGGCCATTCTTCTAAAGTCTCCCAGTAATCTTTTTGCATAATCTGTGTTAGTTTTTGACATACTCTCTTCCCCTCTGACATTTGTGCCTTGAGAATGAATCTTACTTTTAATCACTACTTGCACACACTCATTTGTTACAAAGTACATCAACTACCAAATTTAACATTTGAGTGCTGGTTGCTAACAGAAAAAGGAATAAAAAATTTGTGCAGACAAGGCCTTGGTTTCTGAATGGCTGATTTTAATGGTGATATGACTGATTCTAACTGCATTCCATCGCGCCCACATTCAAAAGAGTAAAACTTACGGTGACCATGTTTATCATGAAATAGTATTGCATTTATTTTAAACTGATGGTACCCAACTTACTTAAAAATCCTAAGAGGCTTAACAGTTTTTCAACTTTAACACAGTGCACAAGTGATATGCTTTCAGTAGAAATCATACTTTGAGTACCTATACAATCATTTTTTTTACTTTCAGGACAGTATTCAGTAAATAACATGAGCTACTCAACACTTTATTATAAAATAGGCTTTGTGTTAAATGGTTTTGCCCAACTGCAGGCTAAATATTCTGAGAACATTTAAGGTAGTCTAGGCTAAGTTATGATTTCAGGTTAGAGATATTAAATTCATTTTCAATATGATATTTTCAAATTATAACAGGTTTACCGGGACCTACCCACATCGTAAGTTGAGGAGTATCTCTATCTAATATAGTGAGAAATTATTTTTATTTTTCTGAACAACTGAAAAAGTCCAATTCAATCGACCCTACAGAGGAAATGAACTGAAACATGGCCTCTTCTTACCCAAATCACTACAAGAGAAAATCTACTTGTTATTTAAGTGAACTGTACTGAGTAAATGACATAAACATATGTTTAGAAACAACAACGCTCCATTTTCAAGGCTGAGTGGCTGTTTACTGAGTTCTGGGAAGAGCTTCAGTAACTGCCTGTAAAATAAAGAACAATTTTTATTAACTCTTGTCCTTAGTAAGAAAGATATAAATCTTGATGCAATACTCATTAACTAGAATCCTTCCATTACAACATTTTTGTTCATTTATGTTTAAGGACTTTTTGTTAGTTTGTTTGTTTTGGAGATAAGAGTTTCACTGTCACCCAGGCTGGAGTGGTGGTGGGATCTCAGCTCACTGCAACCTCCACCTCCTGGGTTCAAGAGATTCTCTTGCCTCAGCCTCCCGGGATTACAGGTGCAAGCCTGGTTTGCTTTTTTTTTTTCCCCTATTTTCAGTAGAGATGGGGTTTCATCATGTTGACCAGGCTGGTCTTGAAGTCCTGAAGATTACAGGTGTGAGTCACTGTGCCTGGCCATGTGGACCTTGGAGATACAGACTCTAAAATCCTACTTTTACATTTGTGATGAAGAAAAATATCCCTCAAAACCTGTCAATTTAAATATAAATCAGATGTAGTCACACATAATAAACGTGCTAAGATAAATAACTTTGCATATTTGTAATTTTCAGAAATTTTAATTTCCAATTTTGCTAAGTTCAAAAATACATACGACATAAAGCAAACAGGGCACAATGTTAACACCAGGTGAGGGTTATATGGTGTTTACTACTCTTTTACTTTTGCTGTAGATTTGCAATTTTTCAAAATAAAAAATGAAAAAATGTTTATAAGACAAAGTGTATGTCACTGAGTATCACTAGTTTTAGAGTTAAAAAGTGCCCTGTCTTACAGGTAAAAACTTTTCTGCTAAGAGAAGCATGGGAGAAATATTTGACATGCATTAAAGGAAAAAAGTGGTTTAGAAGCCAATAAAGAGAGAACACACTGCAGGTACCGCCCTCATCACTAGTATCTCTTGAGTTTTCAAAACATGTTCCTCTTGCTCCAACAGACTCCCATGCTAATCATGCAAAAACACAGCAATCCACCAACTTCACGTTTACAAATGATAATAAAAGTTTAAAAACATCCCTCTCAATAAGATGAAAATGTTTTCTGACTTTCAGGAATACAACAGGTTTTCTCAGTTGAATGCCTTAAAACTAATACTCTGAATTTCTCACGTACTATTTAATTTGGCTATGTTTTAAAAATACAGCACATGATTTTAATTCTTGTTTAAAGTCTAACGCTCAATGACAAAGCCTCACAGTTCCTGGTAGCTTGTTTGCTGAACAGTATCAACACGGCAAAATTATAAGAACTTCTTTTTAAGATTTGAATGTACTTTGAGATGTGAGACGGCATTACAGCAACCCCAAATTGTCTGTCTTATGGTGAAAATGGAGAGAGTAAAAATTGTATGCTGTGAATGATACCAAAAACTAAAAAAAAGTCTGTCCCAAACCTAAAGTTCCCTTCCCAGGCCTTCCAATAGGCCATGTGGAATGACCGTTCACTTCTTTCCTCCTCATGAAAGGTTGAGAAAGGAGGAAACTTACAACCCAGCGGCAGGTAATGGGAAGACCCAAGGATAGGGCCAAGTCCTTTCAAATGAAGATACAGGTGACACTGGGATAAAACAATCCTGGGAGGTTGGACACAAGTAGACTCAATGAGTGACAGCCCTAATTTTGGGGATGGTGTCAATGTTGGTTTTTACACTCATCATGGGCATCAGAAATGGTTTAAATACATTCTTTTTCTCCTCCCTCCCACTCCCCAGCCCCTCAAACCTATATCATCCTTTCTGTCTTAGTTTTCTGTACTAATTACTGGCAGTCAGATTGTAGAGACAATAATTTAGGGTCCAGTGAAAGTAAATTTTTACACAGCTTGATAGCAGTCTGGGGAGACTGAGGAAAGGAAGATAGAGGCAAATCTCTAGAAAAATGGAGTGTTTCTCTTTGTAGAAGCTATAATTTTTTTTTAAAAAAAAAGATGTCTTAACTTTGCTAATAACCTAAGATGATTTGTAGAAATTAACTAAAGTAGAAATTGTCATTTTTTTGTTTTTGAAAATGTATGCATTTTGCAAGCAAAAATAACACAAAAACAATGTTAAATCAAGCCCATTTTAAGCTCCCTGAGATGACATACAAACTACACAGTACAGTATTAGAGCAGAAAATAAATTATTTACAAAAATCACTTAGAGTAAAATCAAATTTCCATTTCAACAAATATAATATCAGATTAACTGTATCCTTGATTATTTGTTGCTGTAAGTTTATTCATACCAGAAAAATGGTCACATTTAAAATTCTCAAAATAGTTTTGGCACAAGTCACATCTTCTCATGTTGCTAAGTCCCTGAGCACTTTGAACAGGCTGACTTTATGCATCGGCCTCTTCCCCATCCACCCTGGTCCCCCCTTTCCAGAATGCCTTGCTACCTGCTCTGGCCTCAAGGCTACCTTTACCCCTCTCATCATTAACTCTAGATGAACATTTAATGTTATCACCTTTCTAGCTAATGATGCTCTGCAAAAACCATGCAGCTTCTCTGACAAGAAGATCTAGAGTCCCCGCCCCAAAGAGGAGCTCATACCATCTTCCTCATGCTCACTGACAAGGAAGGCGAAACAGATAAGGGTACGTTTTGTGTATCCTTCTTATTATTCATAAAGTTGCCTGTAATGGTCAGTGTTTTAATGTCTCCAAAGCTTTATGCCTCAAATGCTCATCCAAACACTGGATGGCAAAGAGGTCAACATCCACGTCAAACTTATTGGCAAACAAGTGGTGTTTGCGCAGCATCCAGTTCAAGTCACCAGCTCCAAAAATGCACACCGAGCGCACGTGGACTCCATCGCAGGGAGGGTAGGGGGCACCCTTGGAAACATCACCCTCAAAGTATTGCCACTTGACAAACCTGGCAACTGCTTGCATGTCAGACAAATCGTACTTATGGCTGGCAGAAAGTGAGCCCGGGACTTCAGGAATCCTCTGGATGGTGGCCCAGAGATACTCATCAGGGCTGTATGTGTCTTGCGCCCACTCCATAAACTTCTGGATGTTTTCATTCTGTAGTACATACCCCACATACTCCCTACTGACCACAAAGTAGGCACTGCCAGAAAAAAGAGGTGTTTCGAGCGGAGGAAGCATTTTGACAGTCCCTGTGTTTGTCAGCTTTCCATTAACGACCTCATACCGCTTTTTCCACCTTTCTTCTTTATGGGATGGCATCCTCTCCGTTTCCAGGCTGTTTTCTCCCATTAACAACTTGAGCTTCCTGACAATTTCTAGGTTGGTTTTAATAGGAAAATCCATACCACAAAGATTTATCAAGTACTTCCAGTTTGCACTCATTGCATAGAGGTCCTTCATGCAGTTGAGGTCAGCCTGAACCCGACTCCATGATGCATAAACCACACTCTCCAATCGGCTGGCCACAAAGACATTACTGAAACAGGAAGCGATGCCCATCACTGCAGCTAAATAGGAATCCTCGGATTTTGTGTCCACATGAATGCAATAGAAATTCTGAGGCATATAGATGGCCCTCAGCAGCCTGTCAAGCATTTCAATCTTGTGATGAACCACTATAGAATATGCTATTGGAAACTCTGCCTCTTCTTTACTAAGGGGTTCTACAATATATTTGCGTCTCTTGATGAAAGAAGTACAGTCACTGGTCATGTTTATATAGTCGTCAGGTGTCCACCGAGGGCGCTTTTTAAATTTCACTGTTAGGATCTCAAGCTTTACCTTTTGGATTTCATTTACATCACCCTGTAAAACTTTGGTGCAATTAATATCACTACTAGGATTCTCCCCAGCAAGCTCCAAGTGTCTGACACTTACAAATTCGGGCTTTTGATGAATCCTTAAAACGGAGAAGGTGATTAGGGAAAAAACAAGAACCACAAAGTAGTATTTAGTGGGATAAGAAAAAAGTCTCCTTCGCAGCAAGTTCCTCAGCATTTCAAACAATAATCAGGGATTTTCGTTGTGAAGGGCAGTCTTCTATGCTTCAAGCACCAGTGATTTTTTCCTCCGTTGTGACCTTGAAGGTTGTCAGTTTGCATTTATCAGAGCTGCAACGGCATCTTGAAATGAAGAACAGCACTGAAATAAAAGAAGCAATTATAACTCTCTCTATATATATATATGTATGTATGTATGTAGAAAGAGAGACAGAGAGTTTCACAATAAATCTTCTCAGGCTCAAAAACTGTCCTCTTTGCTATGAGGTCAGGTTTAAAACAAAAACAAAGTGGCTGAACCAGAGGAAAAGTGGTAGTAGTACAGGAAGCTCACAGTCTCTAGTATTTATACCACAGATTGAAAAAGAAAACAAAAGAAAAACAAACTCCAAATCCCAGCACCTGGATGCACTACAATATCTAACAACAAGTATTTTACCTCTCTGGTATGTTGAGGTGCAAAACCATAGTTGGAGACCTAGGCAATAATGATTGAACAGTCTATAGTTAGTCAGTTTCTGACACTGCGCCAGAATTAGCACCCCTTGTCTTGAAATTGTTAGTAATTTAAGTTCCTCCTGACATCTTTTAATGTCCATTAGCTGGTGTCAGCAGCCCTAAAAGAGATCAGATCCATTCTGCTTTTTGTTGATTTAGGATTTGGGGCACACTTAGGAAGAAGTTTGGAAATGGTTGTGACTTTTTTTCTTTTTTTTTTTTTTTGAGACGGAGTCTTGCCCTGTTGCCCAGGCTGCAGTGCAGTGGCGATCTCGGCTCACTGCAAGCTCCGCCTCCCGGGCTTACGCCATTCTCCTGCCTCAGCCTACCAAGTAGCTGGGACTACAGGCACCCACCACAACGCCCGGCTAACTTTTTTTTTTTTTTTTGTATTTTTAGTAGAGACGGGTTTTCACCGTGTTAGCCAGGATGGTCCCGATCTCCTGACCTCGTGATCCGCCCACCTTGGCCTCCCAAAGTGCTGGGATTACAGGCGTGAGCCACTGTGCCTGGCCGGAAATGGTTGTGACGTCTAAGAATCTTCGGAGGAAGGGCAAGTCAACGGAATTTTCAAACTGGATTGAAAAGGCTCAGATGAAACCAGGCCCAATTTTGGACTGTGTTGGGTTGGTCTCACAATGAGTTTAGCTCCATGCCAGACACTACAAGAACAAAATATTCATAATCCAAAAGAGAGATACAGCTTGCGTTTTCTGCAGTAGTTAAAACGGACTGTAATAACTAAGTCTTGCAGAAAACAATAGTGTATACAAATTGTAATTTATGACAGACCTTCATCTATATTCAAATTTTAGGAACACAACCCACTTTTACTATGTAAAATGCTTACAAACATTCAATAGCTTTGTTTCCAAAAATCAATTTTATAACTTGGCAACTGGTTCTACAGCTGATAAGCGCTGCTGTTCTAAAAAAAGAAAGCCAAATACTACCAATTTGACCATTATAAATCTGTTCATAACAAGATTTCTAGAGATTTGACACTAGTTTTTAACGCCAGAAACTTAACTATTTCATTAGGAAATGAGCTGTGAATAGTAATAATACAAATAAAAATGAATAAATGACCATCATTAATATAAAATAATGTTAAGAAAAGCATTTAGACTTTTTACCATTTAAAAGTAAGGACAGTCTGAATCACTTAGTGCTGATTCCAGGTGACATCCTGTCCCATTCTGAGCACTTCGCCTGCTGTCAGGTGCGTTAAGTGTCCGGGCATCCAGCAATAATGATGTGTTCCATGAGGCTTTAAAGAAATCTGTGAAATTAAAAAAAAATGTGTGAAGGGATACATATGAACATATAGTATTCACACACAGAAAATATGTTGGCGAACTAATCCTACATGTTTACTTTTTTTTCCTCAAAATTATAGGTGGTTAACTTTCCTCTTTTAAAATTTCCTTCTCTCTAGTCTTACTTATTTTTCTAATTCTATGTTTGTGGATTGCTAAAGATTTGAAAACATCCTGAAATTTAGGTTAAGTTCTTTGAAAGAAAACTCTAGCGGCATTTCCCTTAATGCATACCAAGGAACAGTTTAGTGGTGCAGTATGATTAGAAAATCCAACATATCCTTTCCCCCACTGTGAAGATTCCCAATGCTCACTGGCAAATTAATGACAATCCTGCAGCTGAATTTGTTGCTCATCTCATTTTCTGCTAACAATCTTGATCACCATCCCACTCCACACCTCTATTAGAAAGCTACCATGGGGAGCTTCTGTAACAATACATAAGAATTTCAACCACTAAAATGTCAAAACACTACACAATGTATGCCTTTAAGTAATTCCTGCCCCTTACAGGTTCAAGGCATGTAAGGAAATCTCTATGGAATCATTAGCAGACCACGAACTAACTGAGAGAGACTTGAGTGGGTCTCACATAACAAAGAATATAAACTTCAGACAACTGGTCGAGGAAAGTCACTAAACAAACAAATAACAAAAACAACAAACCCTGGTCAGGGTAGGCAGGGGTAGAGGTCTGATTTCCATGGTGGACACACTATAAATTATCCTGTTTCAACAAAAAAAAAAATTACAAGGCATGCAAAGAAACACAAAAGTCTGGTCCACTTACAGGGGGTGGAACAAACAAAGCAGTCAATAAAAATGTCCCCCAAGGAAGCCCAGGCATTGGATTTAATAAATAACTTGAAATCAGCTCTTATAAGTATGTTCATAGAACTAAATAACTGAAAGGAAGCATGAGAATGGTATCTAACCAAATGGAGAAATTCAATAGAATGTACAACACAAAGAGTGAACCCTTAATAATAATAATGTATATAACAAGTTTGGGCGGTAGAAAAATAGTTGAAAAAATAATGTATCAATAATTAATAATAATGCATAAATACTGGCTTAATTGTAAAAAATGTACCACACTAATTTAAAATATTAATAACAGAAGAAACAGTGAGGGGGCAAATGGAAACTCTCTGTACTTTCTGTGTAATTTTTCTGTAAACATAAAACTGCTCTAAAAATAGTCTATTAATATTGAAACAAAAATTAATTTGCACATCCAAGAAGTTCAATGAGCTGCTAAGAGGATAAACTCAGATACCCTCACCTAGACACTTCAAAATCAAACTGTTGAAAGGACAAAAGATTTTGAAAATGGTAAAGAAAAGTGATTATACAACAAATCCCGAAAATGATTAACAACTTCAAATAAAAAACAATGGAGACCAGACGACAGTGAGTGACATATTCAACGTGCAGAAAGAAAGACTGTTAGCTAGGTGTGGTGGCTCATGCCTGTGATCCCAACACTTTGGGAGGCTGAGGCGGGTGGATCACTTGAGGTCAGGAGTTTGAGACCAGCCTGGCCAACATGGTGAAACCCTGTCTCTTACTAAAAATTAGCCAGGCATAGTGGTGGCACGCCTGTAATCCCAGCTACTCGAGAGGCAGAGACAGGAGAATTGCTTGAACCTGGGTGGTGGAAGTTGCAGTGAGCCAGGGTCAGGCCACTGCACTTCAGCCTGGGCCACAGAGCAAAACTCCATCTCTAAAAAAAAAGACTGCTAACCAAAAATTCCATAATGAGCAAAATCATTCAAAACAATGAGAAATTAGGATACCCCCAGATAAATAAAACAAATATAATTTATCACTACCAGCCTTACCCTTCAAGAAATACTAAATGAAGATATTCAGGTAGAAATGAAAAGATTCTAGACAGCAACTCAAATCCACATGAAAAAATAGAAAGCAGTAGTAAAAGTATATATATACACACCTTTATATATATATAAAGTAAATATATATAAAGTATATAAAGTAAATATATATAAAGTATGTATTTATATATAGGCAAATTTATAGTATGAATGTAATGTTCTTCGTAATTCTCATCTGATTTACAGCTACATTAATTTATGACAAAACTGTGTTGACAGGCTTATAATGTGTACATTTTATATATATATATATATATATATATATATTTTTTTTTTTTTTTTTTTTGAGATGGATTTTGCTCTTGTTGCCCATGCTGGAGTGCAGTGGTGCAATCTTGGCTCAATGCAACCTCCAGCTCCCAGGTTCAAGCAATTCTGCTTCAGCCTCCTGAGTGGCTGAGATTTCAGGCACCCGCCATCACAGCTGGCTAATTTTTGTATTTTTAGTAGAGACGGGGTTTCATCATGTTGGCCAGGCTGGTCTGGAACTCCTGACCTCAGGTGATCTGCCTGCCTTGGCCTCCTAAAGTGCTGGGATTACAGGGGTGAGCCACTGTGCCCGGCCCTGATGTATTTTTTTATCTCACTGAATGGACAAATTGGAACCATCATAAATTGCTGGTAGAAATGTAAATGCTTGGTGAAGCTGCTTTAGAATGTTTGGTTGATCCACAGAAAATTAAAACTAGAGTTACCATATGACCTAGCTGTTCCACTATTAGGTATATACCCAAGAGAAATGAAAACATATTTTCATGCAAAAACTTGTATACAAATGTTCATAATGGCATTATTACTAACTAAAATAGTGGAAGCAAGCCAAATGACCGTGAACTGAAGAACTGATAAACAAAATGTGGCATATCCATAAAATGGGATATTATATGGGTATAATAAGAAATGAAGGTCTCACACATGTTCCATACAATGTAGATGAAGAATCTAGAAAACATTAGGCTAAGTAACACTCATTTACTATATAATTCTGTTTATATTAAGTGGGCTGGGGACATGGGGGGATGGCAATGACTGCTGGTAGGTACAAAGGTTTCCTTTGAAAGTTCTCTAAGTAGATAGTGGATATTGATGTAGAACTTTGTGAACATATTGCATACTTTAAAAGGGTAAACATTATGGTATGTGACTATCTCAATAAAGCTATTATTAGAATAATAACAATAAAGTTCCCCATAGTAAACACATTTTAAGTTACAAATTGTGACATCACTGAGTTTCAGGTTTTTTTTTTAAACAGGAGAACTAGAATCATCTTAAACAGGATTTTACAGAATGTGGGCACATGAAAGGGTCACCCCAAAATCCTTATGGAAAATACAAAGTTCAGAACCAAACACTTGGATCTCACCTCAAAAATGCATAGGTCTTTACCACTGTCGTCTACATCCTAAACAGCCAACATGCTTTGAAAAATACTTTTTACAACATAAAATCACTAGTTTTGGGTTTTAATAAGATGGATAAGTGTCTATAAAGGAGGTAAATATGTGAGAAAACAGTGTCTATAAAGAAGGTAAATATGTGAGAAAGCATTATTTTATTAATAATGCTTTTGATTTTGTCTATTTATCATCAGGGTGAACAGAAAAGTCAAATCATTAAGAGGAATTGTAATTAACCAACCTAAGTTCAAGACATAGAACGTTTTCTTAAGTAAAACTCGGTTAAGAATCAGAAGGGTGAAAGGAAAATGAGATTTCATAGCCAAAGAGATTTCCAAGAAGAAGAGAAGTTTAAAGGGAAGTAAAAATATGCACATGCTATACTATTTTAATGCAATTTTAATCACCAAAAATTACTTAGTTTAAGCACACCCATACAAGGAATGAATAACAAAATAATTAAATAACAAAAATGTGGCCATGGGTAGTTTATACTGCTCAGCCCAATGTTCCTTCACCTTTATATTTCACTCAGGAAGTATACTCACTGAAGAATATCTGGTGGGATATGCCAGTGAGGGCAACTACAGAAGAGTAAGAAACATTCTAAATGACAAAAGCTCACAAATTCTGGGAAAGTACGAAAAACTCAAGTCCCAAACCACACTAAGCCTCACTTGCTCAAGGCCTACACAACCCAACAACTGTCCTGGGGCATGTCCTGAAGAAGGTCCCTCATTGCACACTGGTCCTTTCCTGGAAGAGGAGATTTCCTTATGGACACCACCCTATATAATTTTAAGTGGAACACATAACCTAAGAAGAAATGCAAAATGAAATAATTCCACTGTGAGTAGGAACAGAGGAAAGCCAGTACCTGAAAGCAATGGTTCTTGGTATGTGACTTTTAAGACCAAGAAGTACAAGAATACTAAATTCTAAGAATATTGAAAATAAATACTGACCTGTTATACAGTCAATAAGAAGGAAAGCTAGTCAAGGAAGCGAACAAGAAGATAGGCATTGTGTGCCCCTAAGGTGATGATATGGTCACCAGAAGTGTTCCAACACAAAGAGAGTAAGCACCGCCATATAGAAAGGGTGCCACTGAGTGCTTAATGGAGTGGGAAGACAGACAAAATGACCTCAGGGAGAGGGAGACAGGAGGCAGGAATCAAACTGGAAAAGCAGATGGATGAGAGGAAACTGAAAAAGCAGATGCACAAATCCCAGGCTGACAGGTGGGAAAGAACAGACCAGCTCTATTTACACTGCAGGATCTTCAAAGGGTGCAGGAACTGGTGCTGATTGCACAGATCCCTCTGAAGCCTTTAAGAGCTGTAACACCTTTAAGAGCTGTAACACCTACCGCAAAGGTCCACGGCTTCACTTATGAAGTCAGTGAGACCATGAACCCACTGGAAAGAAGAAACTCTGGACACAGCTGAAGGAACAAACTCCGGACACACCATCTTTAAGAGCTGTAACACTCACCAGGAAGGTCCATGGCTTTATTCTTGAAGTCAGCAAGACTAAGAACCCACCAGAAGGAACCAACCCTGGACACATCTTGGTGACCACGAAGGGACCATCACCAAGTGGTGAATACCATTGGACCCCTTTCGCTTGCTATTCTGTCCTATTTTTCCTTAGAATTCGGGGGCT